GTAGGGAAGGACCCTCATTCCTGCACTGGAAGGCTTTTCCAGGGGGAAAACAGTTTTCCATACTGAATGAATGTTGATTTTTTCTAGAAAAGAGACAGGGAGTCCACTGACTCTGTCACTTTTGGGGGAGTAGTTTCTTTTTGTGCAGAACATGGAACCATTTATTGGGGCAGATAAAGTCGTGGGATTAGTGCTCTTGCTTTGGAGAGGAAAGCAGAGTACAGTCCTAGCTCTGCATCTGGGAGCATGAGGAGGGAAACAAACTCCTTAGTTTGGGATCAACCCAAAACTTCCCTTTTGATGTAGGTTTGGTGCTGTGATTGTTACAATTGTTACATTCTCATAAGGAACTGAATTTTTAATCTTGCATAAAGCATTATAAAGGTATTTTATAACATACAGTAACATGCAGAAAACTACCTAGGCAGAAACTTTGATTAAAGCCTCCCTAAAGTAACACTGCAATTTCAAAGCTTACTTTTAAACCCCATTTTTCATTGTTATGTAAGCATTCTAAAATTTGATTTTAACTTGAGCTCTACGAAAACTGAAAAATCATACTTTGTGTCCAGTTTAAAACTTTGCATCAGTTTTCAATGCTAAAGTGTCCTGTATGCCAAAATTGTTGAAATTATTTTTTTATGAAAAAAAGTATGTGCAGATACATACTCAGAATCTCTGGTTTGTCAGGACTGATCACAGTAACAATTTTTAAGAATTTCAAGTACGTTAAATATCAAATCTAAGCACAAAACTGCCATGACTTTCAAAGTCCTTAAAATTTTAATGATGACAACTGAAAACCAGGATTGTCTCTGTTGCATTGTACATGCAGTCAGCAGGCAGGATCATAGTTTGTTGGTTTTCATTTTATCTCTGTTTCTCCACTGTTGTTCATCCACGTTGTCCTTGTAGTTATGTGCAGTTCTGTGCTGGTCTCAGAGGTACAAACGTATTCCCACTAACAATGGACCATGGCCTTGAATTCTCTAATGTCTTTAGATTTCAGATCAGAGCTAGTGTCGCCCTGCTTCAGAAGGCAGGTAGGATAGACCAGCACTGTTGTGAAAGGACCAGCCCGAGTCGCTGGCTAAGCTGTTGGGTTTGTTCCTGTAGGACTGCGGCCTGCAGCTGAATGACGAGGAGGGGCATCGCTGCTACCCCCTGGAGGGACACTTGCTCTGCCACGGCTGTCACATCCGGCGCCTCAGCGTCAAACTGCCACCACACCCGCCCCCCAGCTACCCCATGCACGTCACCGAGCTCTGAGGGACAGTGCCATGCCAGGAAGCCCTCTGAAAGAGAAGGCAAAACTGTAAAATTACTTTCCTCTTCCTTTAAAGATGAGATTCCAGTAATAACCATCTAAACCAGCTATTTATTTTTTAAATCAGAGGTGAGGGGTCCTTTTCTGATCTTGTACATATGCATTCTTTTATCTAGACTTTTTCACTGAAACACCGTCTACTTGAACACATAATTCACCACTAAACTGTAACTGTAAATGGCAGCATTTCTAAAAACAACGGTACGAGGGCTGTTCTGCGCTCCCTACTCACTTCCCTCCGGTGGAGATTTCACCCAAGGAAGGAGTGTAGAAATTACTTTCCACAAGTTAGCACCTTATCATATTGCAGCAGGCATGATAAGAGAAATGCTAGCATTTTAGCTAGTTTGGTTGAATTCTGGTCTTAGAGAACACAGTCTGGCGTTTTTTTAAAGCCTCTGTTCCGGGAAGCAGCGAACAGGACGGACAGGAGTGGTGTTGGCAAGGACAGTCTCCAGCGCAGGTTAAACAACGGCATTCTGTGCAGACGCACCAGGCCGGCTCTCCATCCTACAGGGCTCCACGGTCAGCCAAAGACTATTGAGCTTGTTAAAGAAATATGGCAAGCATCTTGCATAAAAACCACATTACAGGGGCATATAGCCAAGAGATTGGCACACGCAGGGTCCGAGCAGTGGAAGAAAGTTACCGCCCTCTGTAATGGCTTGCCGTGTACAAACATAGCCACGGTTTCAAAATGCATTCATATCACAGTGGTGATTTGGCACTTACTAAAGAATCCCTCTTTTAAACCTGTTTTCTGTTTAATAGGGCTAGCAGCCCGTTCTATGCAAAGGTACACATATTTATACTACATGCTTTATACAGGACTTCATTTGTTACCAACTGCTTTATGTTTGCATGTTGATACACTATTAAAAAAAGAGGGGAGACAGTGGTTTCTGTATTATCTTTTCAGCTTTGTGTTCTTTTCTAGATGTACTTTTGAACTGATTACAGTGACGGTCTTAATTGGAAAACAAAGTACAGTTTAGCAGAAATGATTTAGAGTCAGATCATTGAAACTGGTATTTCACAACAAGTATTAGATGTACATAGAATGTACACACTTTCATGTTTTGCATAAGCTTTTACAGTAACCTCAGAGCTCTGGGGAAATATATGTCTTCCATATAGGAAGTTAGATGAATCTTTTTTATGGTTTGTTTTCTACCATGTGTTGATGATTTACATGCAAATCACACATCTGTATGTTCAAAAAATTCCTTGCATTCTCATAAGAATTGATCCAGCCTTCCTGAATTTATATTTTAAATAAATCCATCATTACTGTCTTTAACTGTATCCAAAAATACGATAAAATAAAATTCTCCTGCTCTGGAGGAAGTGGAAATACCAGACCAGATTCTCCATGTGTGTAAACTGGGACATTTCTACGCCAGTTCTCAACACGCTGAGAATCTGACCGACCCGTTCCAAAATGGTCCCATGTTCAATTCAGCACCCAGGCTGATGAAATGTCTGATTTGGTAACACACTGCAATTCAGTTTCTTATGCTCCATGGACATTTTGAAAGCCATTTGTGGTGCCCTCGAAAAGTACAAAGAGCATCCAGTGGACACTAATTCCCAAATGGAATAATTAACTCCCTTAACAGAACTTTTTTATAGTCTGGAATTTCCTTACGGGGCTAGGTGGGAGGTGTCGGGAAAATTCCTGTAAACTATTTTTTTTTCTGTTAGTAAGGAACAAAAGGTATGTTTCCTGAACTTTTGCCAAAATTCCATTGGCCTAGTTTAACCTGTCTTAATGAATTCTCCTTGGCAAATCAGATGTTCCTCTTTAAAAGTCATTTTCTAATTAATATATATCCATATATGATTAATGTATTTAATGTGGCAGCCATGTTTTGAAATAATTACAGTGTAACAGTGCCCCATTTCTGCAGTGTGACCTAGGAGGCCTGGCTTGCAGGCAAGAGGACAGTGGGTGCACACACACTGTCTGTACTTGCATCCACGGTCGGCAGCCCGGCCGCAGGAGGCAGCAGAAGTACGTGTGTGCCTCCCTCCTAAACTGCCAATGCCAGAAAAGGCAAAAAAAGAGTCTTCCATTGGATTGTGTGACTAGGTCAGTCCCTTAAGGTTATTACAAACATGGAAGCTGTCAGAGCTTCAGGATAAACTTTTAGCATCAGATGCAAGGTAATACTTTTTCCATTTAAAGAAGCTGCTTTGGACCACATTTAACTTTGAGGTGTTTTAACTTCCTTACCTTTACAATATATATTAAGGAACCCAAATTAAGAAGATAATAATTAAAATACACAGAGAAGGTTTGGGTCTGTTCCTGTGAGCAAGGCATCCCATACCAGTACTCACTGTATTGGAAAAAATGCTTTACTCTACCAGCATAGAAGCAAAACCTTCAAAATCACAGTGGCCAGAGATGGAATTGTGGAACCATAGAATCATTTTGGTTGGAAAAGACCTTTTAAGATCATTGAGTCCAACCATTAATCCATGTACCAAGTCCACCACTAAACCATGTCCCTAAGTACCTCATCTACATGTCTTTTAAATACCTCTAGGGATGGTGACTCCACCACTTCCCTGGGCAGCCTGTTCCAGTGCTTTACAACTCTTTCTGTGAAGAAGTTTTTCCTAATATCCAATCTAAACCTCCCCTGGCACAACCTTAGGTCATTTCCTCTTGTGCTATCACTTGTTATTTGGGAGAAGAGGCTGGCACCCACCTATCTGCAACCTCTTTCAGATAGCTGTACAGAATAAGAAGGTCTCCCCTGAGCCTCCGTTTCTCCAGGCTCAACAACCCCAGTTCCCTCAGCCACTCCTCATAAGACTTGGGGTCTAGGCCCTTCCCCAGCTTTGTTGCCCTTCTCTGGACCCATTCCAGCACCTCAACATCCTTCTGGTATCGAGGTGCCCAGAACTGAACCCAGTGTACCCCAGGTGCACCCTCACAAGTGCTGAGTACAGGGGGACGATCACTTCCCTAGTCCTGCTGGCCACACTGCTTCTGATACAGGCCAGGACGCTGTTGGCCTTCTTGGCCACCTGGGCACGCTGCTGGCTCATGTTCAAGCAGGTGTTGATCAGTACCCCCAGGTCCTTTTCCAGCAGGCAGCTTTCCAGCCACTGCTCCCCAAGCTTGTAGCGTTACATGGAGTTGCTGTGACCCAAGTGGAGGGCCTGGCACTTGGCCTTGTTGAACCTCGTACCACTGGCCTTGGCCCATCAGTCCAGCCTATCTAGATCCCTCTGAAAAGTCTTCCTACCCTCAAGCTTAACTACAGTCCCACCAAGCTTCGTATAATCCACAGACTTCCTGAGGGTGTTATCCATCCCATTATCCAGATCATTGCTAAGTATATTAAACATAACAAGCCCCAGTACTTAACCCTGGGGTACAGCACTTGTGGCCTGCCACCAGCTGGATTTAACTCTGTTCACTACCACTCTTTGGGCCCAGCCATCCAGCAAAGAGTGTGCCCATCCAAACCATAAGCAGTTTCTCCAGGAGGATGCTGTGGGAAACGGTATCAAAGGCTTTACTGAATTCCAGGTAGACAACATCCACAGCCTTTCCCTTGGCCACTAGTGCATACTGCTTCCCCTTGGACTACAGGGGCTTCATTCTGCTCCCCATCTCTGTCTTCCAGCTCAGGGGCCTGAGTACCTGGAGAACAACTAACTGTTCTTGCTATTGAAGACTGAGGTGAAGAAGGCATTAAAGTACCTCAGCCTTTTCCTGATCCTTAGTCACTATGTTTCCTCTTTTATCCAATAAAGGTTGTAGCTCTTCCTTACCCCTCTTCTTGTTGCTGATAAATTTATAGAAACACTTTCTATTGTCTTTTATAGGAGTGGCAAATTTAAGTTCTAGCTGGGCTTTGCCCCTTCTGATTTTCTCCCTGCATAACTTCACAGCATCCTTGCAGTCTTTGAGAACGGCCTGGCCCTTTTCCCAGAGGTGGAGGTGACTCACTGTGGTGTTCAGCCCAGCCTTCTGCCAGTCCCCTCCTCAGCAGCTGGCCCCGCGGCAGCGCGCGCTCCGCCGGACAGCAGGCTCCGGACAGGGCCGTGCCCACAAACACTGCACACCAGAGGCAGGTTTAGCTTCATTTCACAGCTTCGTTTGTCAGTCTCCTCTACTTCTGCTCAGTTCCAGCCTGTGAAGTATTGAAAGGCAGTATTTCAGCATAGACTAAGCAGCTTGTTTAAAGCCAGAAAGCAGCAGTTGTTCCAGTATTTTCTATAGACAGGTGTATTCCATCACCATATAATGAAGCACAGCTTTGCTGTTCCAGCACTTCACACAAAAACTGGAGCTTAAGGGAAATTTTCCCTTTTCTTTTTTTTTGTTTTTCAAAAAGAAAAATAAAAGCAAATATAAAGTAATGGTGTGCTCTACTCCTGAGTGCTAGTGGCAGTTTCTGCACATTTTACCTCCTGTCTGGGGAATTGTGTAAATGAAAAAGTTCCTTGCAACGATTTTTCTTAAGGAGTATTCTTATGTTAAATCAGTTCAACACAGATGAAAACTTTCTAGAGTTCATTTTATGATGTGATTGTTCTTCAGAACCCTTTGTTGTACTTTTAGAATATTTCCATAAAGTCAAAACAATACAACTTGTTCTCATTTGCATCAGGACTACCCCTCTCCATTTTGGCAAGGCATCTTACAAAGTCCCCACCACACAACACTGTTGCAGGGCAGTTCAGAGTCCCTTGTGCAATGGAGGATGAGTTCCAAAGAAAGGACCAAAATAATAATTTGAAAACAAAACAAAAGAATGCACTCAAATAGCTGAGTTTTCAAAGAGAGTTTGTTTGGGTTTCTTTCCTTTTCCTTTCACTTGTGTGCACGTGTGTGTATATTTTGTAAGGTGGAGCTTCAAAAGGAAAACATGGTTAGAGGAGCTCTTTAAGACCAGAAATTCCAGAGTAGTTAAGTAAACCAAAGCTCTAAAGGAGACAAAAGCTGCTTTCTTGTGTTTCAAGAAAAGTTTAAAAGTTTGTGACTCATCCTGTAACTAATTCCGTAACTAGAGTATATAATTTGACTTAAATTAAGTTTTCATTTGAGAAATATTTTCATTTTCTTTAAAAGAATATAGTTTTCTTCCAAGAACTTGGACCAACGTTGATTTTTATTTTGTAGGAAATAT